TATATATATGTATATATACGAGATATGTATATATATATATATATATATATATATATATATATATATATATACTACATATATTATTATAATATATTATATATATATATTTATATTATATATATATTATATAAGTATATATATATATTTATGACATTACATATTATGTATATTATATTGTGGTGTGTATATTCAAAATTTTAGAGTATGTGCATAGCCTTATGACAGGGAAATCTCGTCCTTTTACAGAACCAAAAACCGCGAGCACGAGACTTCTTCCGAACCAATGCTATTATTTATTGTGCTTCCCTGACTAAATTTTAAAATAAATGATAAGACATCCTTTACGGGAAGATTTTGGATGTGATGAAAAATACTTATGAATATGTCTTAACAACTTTTTCTCCTTTTTTTTATGAATGATTAATCTTACTTTTGAGAGAGATTCGCTTTTTTTCAGATGAAAATGTATAGAAAGGAATATTTTATATGCTATATATTTTTTTCTATGTAATACATGTTATCCATCCTATCCCATTTAATCCATCCATCAGACGAATGAGAAGAGAAATAGAGGAGAGATAAAGAAGAAAGAAGAGAGAGAGAGAAGAGGGAGAAGAAAGAGGAGAGAGAGAGAGAAGAGAAGAAGCATGAGAGTAGAGGAGGAGAGAGGAGACGGGAGGGAATATGAGAAAGGAGAGGAGGAAGTGGGAGAGAGAGAGAGAGAGAGAGAAGAATCGAGAGAGAGAGAAGGGATGAGAGACGATGAGAGAGCGAGGGAGAGAGAATAAAGAGAGATAGATAAAGATGAGTAGGAGAGAAGAGTCGAGAAGAGAGATGAGGAAAAGGAGTGGAAAAGAAAGGAGGAGATGAGAGAGGAGAGAGAGAGAGCGTAAATATGAGAGAAGGGAGAGAGAATTAGCAGGAAGGAGGAGTTTGAGAGAGAAAGAGGAGAGAGAGAGAGAAATTGGCAGGGGGTGAGAGAGGGAGATGAATGAAGAGAGAGAGAGAGAGAAGAGAGAGAGAGAGAGAGAGGAGATGAGAGAGAGGAGAGAGAGAGAGAGAAGAGAGAGACGTGGAGAGGAGAGAGAGAGAGAGAGAGAGAGAGAAGAGAGGGAGAGAGGTGATGAGAGAGAGAGAAAGAGAGAGAGGGAGAGAGAGGAATAGAGAGAGAGAGAGAGGAGAGAGAGAGAGAGAAGAGAGAGAGAGAGAGAGAGAGAGAGAAGGAGAAGATGAGAGAGATGGGAGAAGAGAGAGAGCGAGAGAGAGAGAGAATGAGAGAGAGAGAGTGAGGAGAGATGAGATATGACGAGAGAGGAGAGAGAGAGAGAGAGAGAGAGGGGAAGAGAGAGGAGAGAGTAGAGGAGAGAGAGAGATGAGAGAGAGAAAGAGAGAGAGAGAGAGGAGAGAGAAAGGAGAGGAGAGAAGAGGAGAGAGAGAGAGAGAGAGAGAGAGAGAGAGAGAGAGAGAGAGAGAGAGAGAGGAGAGAGAGGAGAGAGAGAGAGACGACAGGACAGACAGACAGACAAGCAGACAGACAAAGCCAGACAGACAGAGGGCGAGCAGACAAAGAAAGAAAGAGAGAAAAATATACAGACAGACAGCCAAAGATAGAGAGAAAGATGGACAAACACAAAGACAGAAAAAAAGAAAAGAAAAACAGACTACAAAAACAATTTCCCCAACATATCGCTTCTCACTGAACTCACCGACAGAAAGTAGATTTTCACTTCACTCTTGGCTGCCAGACTTGACTCACCGAATCGCTGAGATGAAGTGAATTATTTCGTTGTGTTTCTCTCATTTTATAAATGTTTATTAACTTATGTGGGTTGGTCTCACACCTGAACGAAGACAGCTGTTGTGCCTATCTTTTTTCTCTCTCTTTTTTTTAATGGTTGGTTGTGTGCTCATGTTATTCACTGTTGTGCAGTTCACTTAGTTATTATACATTTTGGTTTTAATTATATATTTTTTGATTGCTGTTGGTGTTGTTCCTATGATTTTTTATTTTTATTTTTCATCATCCTTTTCTTTATCATTATTATTATCATTATCATCATCATTACTATAATCACTATTACTTTAATCATCGTTGTTATTAATACAATTAGGATAGCTTACATTTGCATTGATTTTACTATAATGATATCATAAATAGTGACAGTATCATTATTATTACCCTCAATTTTTTATTATTACAACAGATATTCTCATCATCATCATTAATCATTATCATTAATCATAATTATCATCCCCATCACCATCATCAATTACACATACATCATCATCAAACATCATCCTTCATCACCAATCATCATCATCATTATCATCATCATCACATCATCATGATATCATGAATAATTAAGGATAAAAACAAGAGAGAAAAATCATCATCCTTATTACCATCATTATCATTAGCATCGTTATCATTATCGGCATCAATATCATTACTATTATTTATCTTACATTATTATTATCAAAACAATAGCATGTTAGAGGG